GTAGATACTATTTGATAGAGCAAAGTTTCAACTTTAAAACTATTTTTTAAATTTAGATAGAATAATTTTTAACGAAGTTATGAGTAATCAAATTTAAATCAAAGTGCTCCTTTTATTTAATCTGCGCGATAAGTCAATAACAAAAAATTTCGAAAATGATTTTGTAGAGAAACTTTAAGTTTTCATATTAGAAAGTCTAAAATTTTCACAATTTTTTTTATACATAACAATCTCACAAAATGAGAAATTTTCCACTTTGTCTAACTCGTAATCTTCTATATATAAACATTACCAAACTTATAGAAGCTCATAGTAATTTTCGAAAGTAAGGATTTTAAGTTAACCTTTTTTTAAAATTTAAATTTAATTTTTAATGAATTCAGTTATAATTGCTTGAATTTTAAAATTCCTAGTGCTGCAATGAATTGCTTTTATTCTGATCTCAATATTATATTATAGGACGAAAGAAACACAATGATAATTGCAATCATATGAAATTTAACATTGTTGAATGAAAGTTAATTTAGAATTAATTTAGATTTAATATCTTATATCGTTGGCTTAAAAAGATTTATTATTTAATGATAATATTAATTTAGCATATAATATATTCACGCATATATCAATTTTATTGAATAAAAGTTAATTTAGAGTTAATTTCAATATCAATATATCATATATCAATTTTGTTGAATAAAAGGTAATTTAGAATTAATTTAGATTTAATATCTTATATCGTTGGCTTAAAAAGATTTATTATTTAAAACAGTAATATTAATTTAGCATATAATATATTCACGCATATATCAATTTTGTTGAATTAATATTATTAATAGTAGAAAATATAATGTCGTTAATTCAAGATTGATTTATGGTAAAGCAATAGATTTGCAGTAACATACATGCAAACAATCATGAAATTGATATTCGTAATATGGACTTAACATTATTCTTCGTTATGTAAAACATTCATTATGTAACAATGCCGTAATGAAGTTTTCACCATGGCATTTGCATGTTATTTAAGTTTATATAACGAACGTATTTCATTTGTCAGCGTGCAGGACTTATTGTATTATCTGAATAACGAGAAAAGTTTTCCAAAGTACGAGTTCGTACTTTACGAATCCAAGCCGAAGATGACTGCGGTTCATCTTGTTTAATCTTCTAATAAAGTTGTCTGTAAACGATGGGCAGAGAAAGCTTAGATTACGAAAATGAATGAATGATTTGTATGTATAACTTTTGCCATTTTTACAAATACTTGCTTAAGTTTAACTCATATTCAACAAATTAACAATCAGCATATTGAAGTATAATAGTAATGATAACAAAGAAAGAAAGAAAGAAAAGCGGAGAAAGAGAGAGAGAGAGAGAGAGAGAGAGAGAAAATTAAAGAAAAAAAAAACGAAAAATGCTGAAAAATATTAAATAATTGTAGATACTTAAATAACTTTTTGCAAATATATTTTTTTAATAAAAGCAAATTCTGATAATCTTTATTTATTTATTTGATAAATTTAAAAATATTTGATCTACACAACAGAGAAATTACAATTTTTAATATATTTATTATATATGTGTATAAATTATTAAATTTATTAGCA